GGGGGGGGGGGGGGGGGGGGGGGGGGGGGGGGGGGGGGGGGGGGGGGGGGGGGGGGGGGGGGGGGGGGGGGGAGCGTTACGGCGGTGTCTTCTATAGTGGGATGACCAAAATATTTGAGTCATGTGTACGATGCGCACAGCAGGCATGTCTGTCTCAATTATTATCTAGATACAAAGGCTTGATTGTGGTCCTGCGATACTGAAAACGCGCTGCTACTGTGAGCGTCCTGCTGTACGTATGAGACTCTACACAGCAGTATACGGATGGTTGGCCCCTCATTCCGACTTGATCTCAAATGCGCTTGCTCCTCCTTAGGATATTACCATTAACGCACAAAAGTTCATGTCTAAAATAGAGGGCTTTAGTTCTTGGAATAGTCGAGAGCGTTCCGTCAACGTGTCACACGATATGTGCCTCCTGTCCGTCGTGGAGTGAGGGACCTTTGAAAATCGGTCATGGGGGTGCGGTATCTTATGTCATAAAGCTAAACATGCAGGTGTACGCTAATAGGTCCAAGACCTTGCGCGGATGCCTGTGGGCGGGCATATGGTCATGTGAAGGGATCAAGGAAATACTCATCAAACGAAACATGGTCAAAACGTACGTGGAGCATGCAATTGCTGCCCGATGGTGTACATTTGCGGCATCAAAGTACGGCGACGCGCGTTGATCGCATTTGTGGGCTGTGCGAACAACAAACACGACGAAAATTCAAACAAAGTGCACACATCCAGGAGTGGGGAACAGGAGAAAGCTCGGGCCGCACTGCATAGCCCAGCATAAATTCGGGCCCAAAGAATGGTCCCTGCCACTACTACCTCCGCGCACAACAACAATGCCGGACGGGCACCCCAACCTGTTTTCCGTTGACACCGCATCGGGCGTCCTGAAGAACGAGGTGCAGTGTGGACAGAAGTGGGATTCCACTTCCTCCTGGACGCTGCGTGGATGGTCGGCCACCAGGCAGCGACTGTCGAGCGAGAAGTACATCAGGCTCAGCGGCCGGAGGTAGCCATTGTAGTCGCCGTATAGAACTTCTACCATAATGCTTGCTGTATTGCGACAAGGCAGGTTGCACGAAAGAACAACGAGCATGTGACACAACGACACACCACACAGCAGCGGGGCAGGCTCCGATTCATGGGGAGGGGTAGCGCGAACAAGAATTAAATTATTTGTGCGAAGCGCAAAAAAAATGTGAGGAGGCGTTTTCTCTCAGTGGTCCCGAACGAGCGACAGCCCGACAACAACCAGCTGGCGAAACCGGAAATGCCATTTTCTCGCCGCGATGATGCTCGTTTTCCACACGTTTTTTCGCGCCGCACTCCCTGATCTATGCGATTTGTCGTGGTGGTGATGGAGGACATCATCTCCAAAAATCTACTATAAATTCGTTTCGAGAATGCTAGTATATGAGGCACTACACTTCTTTTTTTCTCAAACTGTTGTTACAGCAGTTGTTGTTGCTGCTGCCTGCTGTGGATGAATGCAGAAGCTATGTCACGCAAGTTGTGAGCCCAAATTGCACAACATCCTGCAGGTAGTTCCTACTTCTGTGAAGCTGCAAGTTTAGGTATGAAGGTCTAAGCGGTGAATTGGGATTGGCAAAAAAAGCTTCCGTGTTGATAACTTGACCATTGATTGACTACATTTTTTTTTTTGGTCTCCCATCGTTGTGGACTCTGTCGTCTGCCCCTCTGGCCCCTATCCTCCACTTCTACCGGCTAGACGACCCAACCGGGGTCACATAGGAGGGGGGGGTTGGACCCCCTCCTGCGGTTCATGCCTGAGATATTTTTATCGCGAGAAGGGTACAGCAATCCCTTCCCTCGCGACTGATGAAGTCGATCAAGTGTACTAACAACGAGCTTTGCAGCGCGTCGCTTCCAACGGAGACCAGGATTTACTTAGCGAGAAAAAACTCACTCTGTCAGGACTCGGACCCATGACCTGGCCCTTAGCAGGCTGCGAGGCTACCCACTAGACCACCGGGGCAACCGGGTATATATAACGCGTCCACTTTTCTAAGAACTTAGCAGTTATGAAATGCAGCCTCGAAAGTTTCAAAATTTAAGACTTGGCCATGAAAACACGTGCTCAGTTCCGACGTGGTCTGACGAACAAGCACCTGTGTTTGTGGTTCAACAAAGCGCCTTCGGACAAGAACAGACCCCAAAAAAAGTTGCAGCTGCAAGATAAGAACTCATGAAGGTGGTAAGGGGTGACTCACGGGGTTTTCGGTGACCCCATCCACCGGCAGTTTCAGATCAGCGACGAGGAGTGGGATCTCCGTTTCAAATAACACTGGTGCGGAGGGGGGGGCGGGGCGTACTCTTATGTTTTGCATATCTTAGTGGTTAGACCATTGACCACGCGTCCTCGAGAGGACGGAGTATTGTTGCCACAGGACCAAAGACCGATTTGCCAATCATCCCCTCCTACTTCACCAAAAAAAATGTGTCTCAAAGATGTTGTCCCTAGCCTTTCTATCCTATCGACATTACGTCCAGCCTCTTCAACCCACGTTCTATGCCCCGGTACAGCTACCTAGCTGGTATTCCATGCCTCAAACATCTCCCTGTATCTTCCTTCTACTTTTTTCAAGGTTCAGTCACGTAAAATCTCCTCTCCTTGTACAACAGACATTCCGCAACTACATGAACCCGGTCTTCGCACTCTGAGCCGCGTTCACATTTTACCTTTAGTCGATGCGGAGGGGGGGGG